CGTAATTTTGAACTACCCATTCTGAAAATTTTACAGATTTTACTTAAATATTTGAAGAACATTTTTCAATAAGAAAATTAAAAAAAGTCGTTACTAAATTTGAAAAAAAAAATTTATTTTGTTATTATTTTTTTAATATCCAATTTTTTGTATTAAAAAATAATTGTATCGACTTCTCGTATGAAAGCCAAGAAAAGTCATAAATGGTACGATGATTGGGTTTTTTTTTTATTAAAATGCTTGTTCGCGGAAGCATATATTAAAAAGGCCTTTTTTGGCATGCTTAAAGTTCAAAAAAATATACCTCAGAAACAGTGTGTGTCACATGAAAATAAAAAAATTCGTGTATCATATTTTTACCCAAAGAATGCGAAGAAAAATAATTTGAGCGGAAAAAAATTGTTAGTGTAAATTTTGCATGGATTGACCCATATGTATTTCTAAGCTGTTTTTATTGCGATTCAAGAATAGCTTGCTATAAGTTTAAAGCGTACTTTATGTGTTAAGCAGGGATCACACGATTTGTACATTTGTATAGAGTGGTGTTGTTTTGCAAGTTGTTATTGAGCTGAGCTCATTATTTCTGAACAACACCACTCTTTGACTGCCAAAATGTACAAATCTGTCCAAATGTACAAATCTTGATATCCCTGCTTAACATTTAACAAGTGCACCATCGCGAAAATCGTGATTTTGTGCATTTTAGCATCGGAGGCATACATCGATGCATCGATTTGCATGGTATTTTTCAAATAATGTTTCACAACAATATATCTCCTTAGTAAAATTTTACAAAATTTTTAATAAATTACAGAATATGACCTAATTATGTTTCTAACGGAACTTTTTGGTCCAAGTCACTTTTCTTTTTTGTACAATCGAAAAACTGGAATGACGGCTCAATGTACTAGAAATGTCAGTTTTCAAAAAACATCGATGCATCGATACATCGAGAGGAGAATTTTCGATGCATCGAAGCAAAACAATGATATTTTCGATGCATCGAGGTTTTTCCTAGGGATGTCTATGTAGTTCAAAAACAGTGATGATAAACTTACACCTCATTAATACAAATTAAAGCATTTTGCAACAAAATATACAGTTCCGGACAAAATTATTGGCACAGTGAATTTTTCGCAATATAAACAAAGTTTTTTATTCTTATTTTTTTGATAATCTTTAAAAAAAAAAATTTAGTTCATTGTACACCAAAAAACATAAAAATAAATTCTCTAAAGTTTGTGCAAAACTCAGGAAAATTCAATAACTTTTTATACTAATTTGCAGCTATTTAGTGGAAGACGTTGCTCATTTTCTCCATAAAAAACATAATTGTTGAACATGCTTTGTACGCCAAAATATCAAGGCTATAAAACTGCATACATAGAATTTTTCTAAAAAATCTGAATAGAAAGTTGCAAATTAGTATACGAATTTATTGAACTTTCCTGACTTGCACAAAGTTTCGAAATTTTATTTTTATGATTTTTAATGTAGAATGAAATATATTTTTATACAAAGTGATTGAAAATAAATTATGATAAAAAACTTTGCTCATATTGCCAAAAATTCACTGTACCAATACTTTTGTCCGGCACTGTACATATGTATGTACATGCAAAAACACAATGATGTATTGGGGAACGATTTTCCGCCATCCCTTGTCAAATTTAGTTTTGAGAACAATCCTTAGATTACCTCAATAAATTGTTTTCTTTGGAACTACATATTTAATATAAGAGTATATTTTTTATATGAAACGATATTTCTTCAATATATTAAAATTTAATCTTTTCTATTCATTTGTAAATTTTCTTTTTAAAACAGTTAGTCCCACATGCTAGGGGTTTCAATAACTCTGGGCAGAAGGCTATTCACACATGCAGCCAAATAATAACCTTAGTAGATAATCTTTGTGCACTGAATATTTAATAAAACGTTAAACAAATTGTCTTTTTCTCGCCTCAGATCTTTTTATGATATATTAATAAACTATGCACATAACGTTCATTCATATTGCTGAACGTTGTAAAACTTATTTCTTTTTTATTTTACGCTATTAGCTATTATTCTAGTTACTAATATATTTCGTAAAATTTTTTTAAATTACTATTAAATAGAATTTATTTTTAACTATTTCAATAACAAAAAATTAATACTTGCTTGTTTATATACATATGTACATAAATTTAATGCTAATATGTTTATAATATCGAACTTTTTAAGTGTAATTTTACCTTCAAATCTTTATTAAAACACTCGCTAATGTGATAATTTCTCATTTCTTTTTTATTTCTGCATAATCAAATCATATCTAACTTCAATTGCATTATTTGCAACATCTAAAAAATGGCCACTAATTAAATTGATAACGCCCGCTGCGTCACCAAAATTTTAATTAAAAAATATATGCTTCTAATAATCATTATATTATATTCAAAAATTAAAAAAAATATAATTCTTTGCATACATCTTTGCATACATCTAGAATGCCATACGCACAAATCTGTCGCTACATAAATGCTTTGTTCGCTATGAAGATGACTTTGGCTCCTTTTGGATGGTGGACGATAGTGAATTCGTTAAGCGTCGCCATTTATCGCGAGGCCGTCCACGCAAATATGAACCGTCGTCATCCCCGCGTTCCAATTCACAGACTCCCGGCTGTGCCGCCGACAATAGCGACAACAATAGTCAATCTGGCGGCACTGACGGCCATCAAGCCTTTAATAGGCAGCAACAAAAGCAGAAACACCGCATAATTCACAACTTTAGTCCCAATAATGGTAGTCATTTCGTCAGTGCTCGAGCTGGTGCAAGTAGTGTTAATTGTGCCAGTGGTGGCAGTGAAAACGGTTGTCTGAATCAAACATGCGCTGCTTTTGATGCTGGTGTTAGAGTTGCTGCTGCTGTTGATGGCGCAATGCTAACTAATTATATTTGCAATAATAGTGATAGAATTAATAATAATAATAATATTAGTAACAAAAGAAATAATAATAATGATAATAATAATAGTCATAATAAGAGTAATAATAATCAAAATAATAATAATAAAATTAGTAATAATAAGAGCGGCAACAGCATTAACAGCAGCAGCAACAAAAATAATGGTATTTTTAATATCAGCACTAATAACGGCGATAATGACGGAATTGATATCTGCGAAGGTAGCCAAATAAGTCTGGGCGACATTTGCAGCAGTAATAAAACATCGAAGAAACTACAAAATTTTGATTCAAGTGATACCAAACTAATACGTATCAACGATGCATTAATCGGAATGAACACAATTGAAAACTTAAACAGGCTTAAAACCGCTTGTAGCAAAGTCCCTGGTACTGATATTACCAGCGAAGGCATTACCACTGTCGATATCGGTGTCATAATTGCGGCAAGTCACTGTGGTGAAGGCAAAAATGGAACCAAACGTAAAGTTTGTGTTATTGATGGTGATGCTGGCGGCGGTAACAATAAACCTATTAGTGCCGTAAATGGTTCTAATGATGTGGGTGTAGGTGACGGTGACAATGCTATCGAAGGACTATTTTATCGCAACTATCAACCGCAGTAAGAGCATTAATGAAGCAAAAGATACAAAAAGCTTTGATGTACTTTAAATATACATAGATTTTGTACATAAGTAGTAAGTGCATATCGTTACTTTAATATAGAAAGACCCTAACTAATTTACATTTCGAACCCTGATTTATACAAAATCTTTCAAATAGCTCACAATTATCTAATAGAAATTGAAAAAAAAAATATTACAATATTAGATAAAATTATATATTATACATTAACAATCAGCACTTCGACGAAACTCGCAACTGTGGAACTTTTCATTTTGCAAAATTTTTGAACTATATTTGAAGGAACAAAAATTTGAGATAAGGGCTTTCTATATTAAGGTAACGATATATTTATACATGTACATACACATATGTATGAATATGTAGTTATAAATATGTAGTTTATACGTACAGATACATTAGGGTGGGTAAACAAAAAAATCAAGTTTTTTTTTCTGGATCCGACATCGGATCATCATAGTTTTCCATTTTTAATTTAGTCTCATATAAAAATGGTCATATCTTATCACCAATAGATCGTTAAACCAGTTGCATTGTCAATATTTATAGGAAATTGAACGCTCTACAAAAGTGGTCTCATATACTCTTTTCATTAATCTAAGCATTTAAAAGATATTCAAGGTCAAAGATTGAAGTATTTTAAGGAAAATAATTTTTTGGTTTGAATTTTGTAACTTACTAAAAAATAATTACTGTCAAATGAGTTTCAATTATTTCTATAGGAAATTGAACGCTCTACAAAAAAGGTCTACTGGGGTTAATCGACTATTCTAACCATTTAGAAGATATTCGCAGTAGAACTCCAATGTCTACTGATTTTAATAGTTTTTTAATAATATTTCCAATTTATCCATTTAATTTATGAATTTTGAGAATATTTAAGAATATTACGTTGATGAAAAACCAAACACATAACCTCTTTCACTGCTGGTAATTTTTTAATTTTTTTCATGAATTTTTGACATCGGTATGCCAATTAAAGGGATTTCTTTATTCATATTAGATGATTAGCAGATGAATTGCAATAATCAAAAATATATTAAAACTCAGCTGCTAATTAATTGGTTTTAGTTATACACAAGAAGACACAACTTAGAGCTCCAAAAACTATATATAAAATGTAGAAATATAAGAGGAAACAGAGAAATGACATACAACCACAGATGGCGCTAGTATGACAAGTACTGAGTAACAGAACTACCAGCATTCGAAATTAAATCTTAAAATTCTCCGAACAAAAAATATTGCATTATAAATTTTGTGGAAAAGAAATTTGAATGACATTTTAAATAAACCCGTTGAAATATATTAAATCACGATCCTAAAAAATTGATTCGAAAGAAATATATTCTCAAACAAAAGATAAGATATAACTCGCAAGCTGTCATTCTATAGAAATAAACTCAAATTCTCATAATTATTGTCAAAATTCATAAATTGAATGGATAAATTGAAAGTATTTATTGAAAAACTATTAAAATCAGTTGGCATTGGGATTCTACTGCTAATATCTTCTAAATGGTTAGAGTTATTGATTAACCACCTGAGATGTTTTTTGTAGAGCATTCAATTTGCTATAGAAATACTTGAAACTCATTTGACAATAATTATTTTTTAGTAAGTTACAAAATTCAAAACAAAAAATTATTTTCCTTAAAATACTTCAATCTGTGACCTTGAATACCTTTTAAATGCTTAGATTAATGAAAATAGTATATGAGACCATTTTTGTATAGTGTTCAATTTCCTATAAATATTGAAAATGCAACTGGTTTAACGATCTATTGGTGATAAGATATGACCATTTTTATATGGGACTAAATTGAAAATGGAAAACTATGATGAGCATAATCTTCCCGTTAATATTAAGAGCTCAGATTTGGTAAGTACTTTCCAGAGGTACCCAGGACCTGGTTTTCGTGTGTCGGATCAAAAAAAAAAAATACTTGAATTTTTTGGCCCACCCTAATATACCTATATACATGTACATATATGTAGTTTATACGTACATATACATATATACATGTACTTACATACCTAATCACTGACGTTGATTCTGAGGTAAGTATTTAGCATGCGAACTTAATCATCTGTTTACGCGTATTTCAGTCAATGTATGTATATACATTAGGGTGGTCAAAAAAGCATGTGCAAAAGTATTTCGGAATTTTTATGCTCTCACCCCCTAGTTCTATACGGAAAAATATATCCCCATTTTTTTTGTTTAGATGTCGCTCAAAACGCACAAAGTGTTTCATGTATTTTATATGGGGAAAACCACTTTTCGCAGGATTACTAAAAATCAATATTTTGCGATCAGAAAACTCCGTTTCCCTGCAGAAGACTACCAATAATAATACCCAATTATTTATTTAACCATTTTTTCATAGTAACTGTATTTTATAGGTCCCCCCAAAACCCCAGAAAATGCAATGGGGGGCACCAATAAAAAATCTTTGGTATTAAAAAACGGTTAAATATACCATTGGATATTGTTATTGGAAGTCGTAAAGAGGACCAGAGTTTTTCGATCAAAAATATAGATTTTCAAGAATTCTATATCATTTCTACGAACAGTTGTTTTTCCCCATATAAAATACATGGAAAGTATTGAGCGCTTTGAGCGACCTATAAATATTTTTATATTTTTTCGATAGAGAACAATGCAACTTTACTTTTTTTACCACCGTATTGTACATACATTAGATTGCGAAAACAAGGTTGTAACTACCCCGCCTAGTTTGAAGGCTTAATGGTGCCCACACTCACCTGGTAAACGTACGTTAACGTGTCAGCTGACACGATCAAATTTATGAGAGCGCCATGTAAATGAAAACTTACCATCGTGTACGTGCGCCGTTACGCGTGACGTGTACTGCTTCTCTCTCCTCTCCTATCAACAGTAAATTTTGTATCTTGCTACGACAAACGGAGACGGCATACATACACGTCGGTGAAAGTGAGCACCTTTAGTAGAAGATGAATTGGGCGTCATACAAATTGTTGTACTTGTTTTATCTCAAAAAGCCAAAATGTAGTTTGGTTCATACAGTTCCTACTTAATTATAGTTGAAGTTTTTAACCTGAACTACCCCCTTATAGGTAATATCAATTATCTAATAATATTTCTAAGAAAATCAAAACATATTCTATGAAGTTTTCCCATTATGTTAAAGAGATCTAACTATAATACTCAAGAATACATACCACATCTTAAAATCGGGTGACAGCTACAAAAGTTATGGACTCGTTTTAGGACATAACAAGCACGCAAGTTTTTCTTATGGCGAAGTCCTCTGAATTAGAGGTCAAACCTAGGGAAAGATGGACGCTCTGGGGGTAACTAAAAACTTTTTTCTTTTGTATATGGACCGAACCGGTCTAATATACACTTTTCACTAATGTATGAGCAGAGTTGTTAGTAATACATAACGTTGCCTTAATATAAAAAGGCCCTTTCTAAAATTTTTGTTTCTTTACTTAGTGGTTATTTTTGTTTCTTTACTTAGTGGTGAAGTATGTATGTACTGTTTTGTGCTGTATATTATATATATATTATGTATATATTATACGCAAAAAAGTCTATTGAAAATAACTTTATAATATACCGCAACAAAATTTTTTCCATTTTTGTTGGCCTGCGTATCTAATCACTTGCAGACTTTCCCAATTTTCTTGAATAATCCGTCAACAAGATGATTTCAGATTTTGGCAAGTATCTTAAGGACTTACTCACGGACTCTAAAATACACCCAGGAAAAAGTCAGCTTCAAATATTTCTCTCGACATATGATTTGGTAACTTTAACTATATAATGAAACTGTCTATAACTAAATTATGTGTTGAGAGAAATATATTTAGCAACATTTTAATCAAACTTATTTGATAATCATCTATATTTGGAACTTTACACGCACAAGCGGCATATTAGAATTTTTCGCATAATGTTTTTTTTTGGGTCTATATCGATCCCTTTACGAGAAATTATCGTATGTGCCAGAAACCAAATTTTACTGGAGATCGCTTTTGTCTACTTTTCAAAATTTTTTGAGTTTTATTTGTTTTATCTTTTTACTACGTTCAAAATACTTGTGTATGCCATATACGGTAATTGCACCTACAAGAAAAAATGCATTGTAGCATACGGTAAAATATAGAGTAAATTTTTGGCGTAACTAAATATAACGATTGCATCCACAATATTTACCAGGTGATGCGTTGTGGGGTGAAGAACAAATTTTCATCAAGAAGTCAATTTCGAAAAAATGGCAGATACGATAATTTTGCGCAAAGGGATCGATATAGAAACCAAAAAAAACATTATGCGAAAAATTTAATATGCCGCTTGTGCGTTTAAAGTTATATTTGGAACTGGATGGTTTTCAAATAATTTTGATTAAATGGTTGCTAAATATATTTCTCTCAACACATAATTTGGTTATAGATAGTTTCATTATTTAGTTAAAGTTACCAAATCATATGCCGAGAGAAAAATTTGAAGCAGACTTTTTCCCTGGGTATACTTTTAGAGTCCGTGAGTAAGTCGTTAAGATACTTGCCAAAATCTGAAATCATCTTGTTGACGGATTATTCAAGAAAATATATTTGGGAAGGTCTGCGATTGATAAGATACACAGGTCAACAAAAATGGAAAAAATTTTGTTGCGGCAAATGTTAAAGCGGTTTTCGATAGACTTTTTTGGTTTGTAACGTAGCATCCTCTACGATACAATAATATACAGCACCATACGGTACATACATACTCCACCGTACATACATACATAACAACGCATATGTACTCTTCGGTACACACACCCCGCATCAACCAAACACTGCTAGTAGCATACCAGCCACTTCGTTCGTCAACTACAATCGGGGCAGCGCGCACGACGAATTCTCAAATTAAGCACGCAGCAAAGAGTATAAAAGGCTGAACAAGTGCGCAGTCGAGTCAGTTTTGCTAGGTAAGCGTTTGGCTTA